CACAAGACATTAACATTAATATGATACAGTGAACCCAGCAGACCTTTCTTGAATTTATTTTAGATCAAAACAAGCGTGAGCAAATTTATATACGGCATTCATCAGGATTTTCGGATGTAGAAGAATCGGACCGGATTAGACTTTCAAATAAACTCTGGAATAATTCGTTTGCAGACCTTGGTCGCGTAATTACCTTACCTTCTTTCCGCACCTTTAATAGTAATTGCATTATTTATTAATTTTAAGTACTTCGACTATAGTAAAAAAAACGAAATTCAACTTAAAAATATGCTTTAAACACATGACTAACATGCACATATTGCATTTTAAAATAAGGTAACTTGAAGGCGAATATGAAAGTATAACATGAGGAATAAAATCTTTCGTTTTACAATTATCAAACATCAGATTTATCCGATATCATGAGATCGAAAGCAATAAAAGTTCACCAAAAGCTTTTCACTTGAAACTGAGCTAACTCCGCTCTTTAAACTCAATTAAAAACTTATTTTGCTTATCTAAAAGCTATTTTAAAATAGCTTTGATTTGGTCTTTTAACACTTGGTTCAGTTACTTTATTTACAGTTTCTTGATTTTGAATTTATGGTGGTTTAACTAAAGGTCAAATCATCATCATCAAGTTGCTCACAGGACTGAATTCAATTCCTAAAATAGCAAAATATAACTAACAAACGGGAAAGCTTGCCACCACCACTGCACTGTGCTGCGTTGGTTAATTAAAGGACGATCTGCGGAGCGAGTGCTGATGCTTTGAGCAATTTTAAATCATGCGTTAAACGTCAAGCGGGTGCGGCTCTTTGTTAATTTACTAACAATTGTAGAGCCCGCAAAAACATTCGACGCCGAAGAAGGTTACCGTGGTTACTTACACCTTACAGGTAGGCAAAATATCGGCAATTTTAGATGTCCATGGGCGGCGATCACTTCGCTATTTTTGCCCAAATACGGCAAACAAGCAAGCGACCATCTAAATATTTAGCTACATGACTCATGAATTTGCAGTTCCTTGAGCTATACGTACACTAAACGCTCGACCGCCGAACGATATCGCTAGTTATTCAGAAGTGTCCGTCCTAATTATATTAAAACATTATCATGGCTGAAATGTTGTTATAGAATTTCATTACCTTTCACATGCTTCAGTTGCGGTAAAAGGTAACCTGGTCATTAAAAATAATGGTCTCTTTGATCGTAATTTAGCGCCGTATTGCGGCTTCGACAATTTTTATTTTATTTTATTGTTCTCGTAATATTTTATCTGTTTTAGTAAGTGCCGCTTATCTTTTTAATAAATTTCTGTTGTTATCTTTGTGTGAGTGTGCCGTTCTCTATTATAATAAAATGTTTTATGTTTAATTTAATATATGTATAAATGTCTCGTCCTGCTGTATCTTGTTCGCTCCTCTCTGTTTCTGAAATTAATAATAACATATGACTAATTATAATTTTACTTAGACTATAATGTTCGTAAGATTTGAACGTATGTACTTACTTATGCCTATTAACAAGATGGCAGAATTTGCGAAACAAAGTTCTGTTCTCCTTGTTTCAAAATGATTACCGGCTCATTGTCAATATTCGAATTTCTCACTTACGTAAGATATTAAATTATTCTTTGCAGATCGCCTAGGGGAGCGCTCCTCGCCTTTTTTGGTATTAATTTTGTGTTGATGGCGCTTTGAGTTTCATTAAGTTTACAATTTGTTCTTTTGTGACGGTAACAGGTGCGGTTTGTTGGAGATATTTCCCGCTCTTTTTTTCCTTTAATTGAATTCGTGCAAAGGTTCTTTGCTTAGGGCTTTTATATTAAATGGAATGAGCTGAGTATTTCGTCAAACCCTTACCAAGTATTGGTGTAAAAAATATAATGAAAACAATAAAAAAATTATGCAGATTACCAAAAAAAAAACACAATATCCAGTGAAATATACACAAACAAATTATTATTATTATGTTATTTAATGTTTTGCCTGACTTACAAAACTGTAATACAACAGTGTGATTCAAACACACTGGAGATCAGTAATGTTACATACATTCGTAGAGATATACAATAAAACAGACGCGTAGGTCAGATTACTTTTTATAGAAATTAATTAAGTGAAGTGTAAAAGGCACTCGCAGCGCTCATGCCATCTTGTCAACTGGCCGTAACAAATATTTGTCCAGCGTACAACTGAAAATCTTGTTGAAGCATCCTTGTTGACCTCGCAAGCCTCTACACTACAACTTAGCAAATTGCTGCTTACTACTTAGTTTTTAGAATTTAGTTTTAACTCAAGACTGAAATAGTTCTAAAGTTTACATTTGTCTCAACAACAGAAGCAACTTGAAGAGGTCCATGTCTTCGGGGTTCACTTCAGTTGGAACTTTTAATATTCTGGCTCTTATTTATTGGCGGTTAGCTAATACTGTACACGTACTAATTCAGTTTATATTATTAATAATTGATTTTTAAAAATGTTATTTTGTTCTTTATGCACGTACATTTATGAAACCTTACGCATCTATTGCTTTACTTAAACTCAACAATTTTTTCGATTTCAAAACTCATCATTTATAAGATTCCGTTGACAAAAATTCTAAAAAGGCACAATTTTTCAATAATTAATAGTTAGAAAAAAATCAATAATAATTGTTATCTTAATTTCAAAAGCCTTAATGGCACTTGTAGATAGAGCAATTAAAACCGACACCCGAAATACCCTACACGGTTAGGCTCAAAGTTAGAAGCAGTTGCTAACTTTGTTAAATCGTAGCTCGTAACCGTAGCATGTAGCCGTAGCACGGAGCTTGTATTTCGTAGCGGGTAAATATTTGTAACCGCATCGTTACGACGAGTCAGTAATTAAACGCCGGCAGTGATCAACTGATATATACCTACTACGCAATTTAATATGTTTGTAAAATTAATTTGTTGACTGCAGTATATTGTACAAATCGTTCAAGTTGATAACTAAAAAATATAAATTTAATTCAATTCTCAAGAAGTGTAGATTTTTGTTTTTAAATTTGTAACATTCGAGGACATGCAAAGTACACGCCTCCGCCGGGTGCACATAAAATGTAGTTACAACTGTCGCCTCGCTGTCGTACGTCAAAACTGCGAGAGTTTGGGTGAGCTGTTGCCGTTACCATGCTAATGTTAATTGTGTATTTTGCATATACGTACGTGGCTAATACGTGGCTTTACCTCTCGACACTAACAACTATCGTAAAATTTCACAACGGTTTTAATAAACGAAACGTTTAAAGTAAACGTTATTCATAACAATAAAGAACTATACACATATAATTGTGCTTACACTTATGTAGGATATATTCCGTTGTTAAAGATAAAGGTTGTAATTGAAATTATTAAATGTGACACTCTGTAGGTGTCTATTATTACTATTTAAACATTTAAGCTTGAGATATATTTCGATATAATGTAATGATGTCTTTATTAACTGGACGCTCATGGGACTATATTATTTTTTGATTAAATATAACTAAACGTTTAAATGTAAATGTATCCGTATCGTGGCGACTGCAGGCGGACTGCCGGCTCCCCCTCGCCAGCGGCGCGGCGGCGCAGATAACGCAAGCTCAACATTTTTTCACTTCCGAACCATAAATCGCAAATCATTAATCTTGCTCGCGAAGCCTAAATTCCATTATTACGATTCCTTATTCAAAAGATCTGAGAAAATTGAATATGAACGATTATTTCTTTATTTCCACAACATCTTTGTGAATTTTCCAGACGGAGGCTTCGTCGTTTATTCCATTGTGTTGTTAATTAATAATGGGATCACCGAAAAATGAAATTCTTTTGTTCTATACTATAAATGGTAAATATTTTGATGATGATAAATAATTAAAAAACTTTGTATATAAGTAATTGTTTTAATAACCAATCTGCAGGCGCTTCACCTGTAACTATCTCACTCGAATAACGTTTCGGTTGAAGGTTGGTTTCCATTTGATTGCTTACCTTACGTTTGGTTGTGACATGTCGTGATTAATTGGAAGACTACTCTCGCGGCGAACACTTCATGCAACGTGAACTAACTGGAATCACACATGCACACATACACGCATGAACACACACACACACACACACACACACAAGCGCCGCCTCATTAAGACACATCCGCAATTAAGAGGTCGCCGTCACTTTATATCTATTGAAAGAATAATTAATGGCAGTCTTAGCAAGTATTTTCATTGTTTTTCATTTTTCATTCTAAACCGGATTCGGACACTAAAATTTAATTTAAAATGTTAATTATTGAGTTTGTTAGCACGAATTTTTTTTCCATGAAAACCCCAAAAATTGCAAAATATTTTTAAAAATGTACACAAGCTTCAGTCATTAATACAGCAATAGCAATACAGTAGTATACCTAAATATTGTAGTAAATGCAGCTTTTCCAAAAATTTTATTAGAATTGTTATCAGTGTCGGCGAGCGGCGAGCGGCGAGCGGCGAGCGATTGCCGCTCAATAGACTTCTTTTATATCTTATCACATTCCGAGCGTTTTTTCACTTTCGCACCATAAATCGAGAATCATTAATCTTCTTCTCGGAACCCGAATTTCATTCTAATGCTTCCGTATTTGAAAATGGAATTGAAAAAATGAGGGATTTAAACATTTTTGATTTATCGTTGTATTAGCTGTTACCTTTGAATTTCTTTATGCAATTGGAACACATATCGTAGTAACAATTTTTCATCATTTACTATTGATTCCATTTTAATACCAGATAACGTCACTTCATCATAGTCAACATAGGTACGGTTAACAAATTCTGTGATGCTTAATACCGACATCTATTCTATTTATGTTCCATCATCCTTAAAGAGACGGAGTCTGCTGCAACTTTCTCATAAAACGAAACCACGATCACTAAAGTACACATTCACTTCTGTTAAGATACCGAAGTTAGCTCTTTCTCCTGCTGTTTATGCAAGCATAATTGTGTGGAACTTGAGGATGTATGTTTGTTGCAGGGAGGCGCTGCCCAACGGCACGCTGGTGCTGAGCGCGTTCAGTGCGGCGCAGTACCGAGGCGACGTGCACGCCGCGCTGTACCGCTGCCGCGCCGCCGGCTCTCTCGGCACTGTGCTCTCCCGCGACATGCGCCTGCAAGCAGGTCAGACTCTGATTGACATTACTAGTCTCGGCCCAAACTCTCCTTTATCTTTCCTTCAATTTTAAGTTTCTTTAAAATTTCACACATTGCCGTAAAATTCGCCATCATTATAATGTTATGTAAATGTTTAAACTATCTGAATAGTTATTTAATCTATATCTGTCAGATTAGGTGACAGGGTCGCGCTACCAATCCATTAGACCCTTTTAGATAACGCTTTAAGTTTAGGGATAAGACGTCTGTCGTAATTACATATTAACGGTGAAATTAAGCTAACACATTTTCGTGAAACATTTACTTATCATGCCTTATATATTTACGTGACTAGTATTATACAATATAGCGCAGCACTAATCTATTGTCAGTAACTATTATAATTTTAGTGACTGACAGAATTAGCGTAAATAAAAATCATATAGATGGAAAAAAAGTGGACACGATCTCTTTTTTAACTGGTAAACTTATTTTATGGGAAATTGTAAGAAAATTGTGTAAGCATTAAGTATTTATTACTTGGCATTGAGTCGATCAAGCGGCCGGGTGTCGGGGCCGCGCCGCCGTCCATTAGGCCCTTTCAGCGGCCCTTTAAGTTCGGGGCCGCGTCATTCACAGTTATAACTTGAAACGCTTTCGTCCGAGCAAAAGCTCAAGTATTATTTATGTGTCCATTGAGTTTAACTCTCACTTAAGATTATTGCGACCTTTTGACTGATGTTAATATACTTTCATTTAACTTACGAGTATAAAGGGGAAAAAAAGATCTGACAGTATACTACATATTTATTTTGAAAGTTACGTTAGTTTGATTAACATAATTTGCATAAATTGTTGAAAGTGAAATGGGATTTAGAGAAAACTGATATAGTTAAATCGTTCACCCTGTCTCCTTAACTAAAATATGTTGCCTAATACCTAAAATGTTTTGTGTAATGTAGCATGTTGCTCGAACACGTAGAATCCTCTAAATGTTTTAGGCGAATTTTGGCCGTTGAAGTTCTGAATGTGCGTCACGACAGAAGGTATCCATAGTTTAGACAAACTCAATGATCGTCGGGGTTCAGTTGATCGCGTGTAGGGACACATGGGTACGTGCCCGCCGTGCCCGGTGCTTACGGAACACGCAGGCGGCGGGCTCCGGGCTCCGGGTGCGACACACCAACTGAATCATAAATTATACAATCCTCGAGGGACAGCAACTGTAACATGTAATGCGAAGACTAAATCTATTTTTCTTTTTGTTGAGAAACTTTTTTTTTTAAATTCGTTATTGACAAGGTAAAATAGAATAAACACGTTCAAAGCACAATAAGCAATCGTTTCTTTCGGGTTCTATTCTAACTCTATATGTGTTGAAGATCTGAAAAAACATGCATTTAACTTCTTTCTCGCTTCTTTTAAGCTCGATATTTACACATTTGAGATCATAACTTAATACCAAATTGCGTTTTCAGAGATCCCGAAAAAACAGTACTGCGAAAAAAAGTCAACCATATCTTTAACGCCAAAAAGATTTTTTTCCATTGTATCGATCGATTGGCTTGACCCGATGTATTGAGAACTGAGTTGGAATCGCTTGGGCTGGAATGCAAATAGGAATCTTTATGTGTAAGGCGAGGCCGGAGGGCCTGATGTCGCAGCAAGGGTCGCCGCCGCGCTGCCAATATCCCTTTGTGACGGCGGCCGCTAATGGAATCAGTATCGTAGAAAATTCCCAGCTGCTATTTACCGCTTCCGTTGCTCCTATTTTTGTTACTTTGTGTGATAAAGTAAATAAGGCTTTGCTAGAAGGCGAGAAAGTTTTATTCAGTTCATCTTGGAAATAAATATAAATGTATATGAATTTTCGTAGAAATTACTGCGATTCGATAAAAAATATTTTTCTTGTATAATTGTGACCAGTATTTGTTTGGTTTATGTTTAATCAAGGTCACGGAACACCGTTACGTGCTGAGAACATGAATCTGCTTACAGTTACCGATAAATTTATTGATTTATAGGATACTATTAAGTCAGCAAAAAGATTTAAAATAGATTTTTGCTAAATCTTTGAAACGTTCCCCCGGCTCTCGAAGCTCGCTTTCCTCTCGACGACATCTCGACGGCCCTCCTCCGCCTTTTGGTCGCGCAACCGCCCTGAAACAATACCCTCTCGCCGCAACCCTACAGAAACGCTTAAGCCCTTATTTCTCCGACGTAATCAGCGCGCCTGCTGAACGATCGCTTATTGTGTGGTAAATGTTTGGAATGATACTAACGCTTGTTGACTCTCTTCTTTCGGCGGGACACTTAACATTAGATGAAATCTACGAACGAATTAGAAACAAAACGAATCACATCACATCACATATGAAAGAACAAAAGCAATTAATATGAAAATGAAGTATTCTACATTACTTTTGAGTAGGACATTGTGATGAAAACATTATATATATAAAGTAACGTAAAAGTTATATATTTTTCACTCTAAATTTTATAATTCATTTAGATAAAAAAAATCACTTGATAAACACATAATTATATTTTCACAAACAGCGCCTTACAATATTACTGTGATTAGTGTTAATACGAGTACAAGCTACGCAAGTCTCGTAGCGTTGTGTTCATTTCAGATATAAAAGAATTCTCAAAAATGCAAAGGACGTAATTATCGTCCTGTTTTAGCTCTGTGCAAGCTCTTCAGTAATCAACTGGTGTAATTGTGATCGGTCTCGAGCAGGCCGGGCCGGGCGCGCCGTCAGCAGTACCCTGGAGTGCACCACCCGCACCCCACCCGCACCCCCCGCACCACACAATGAGCGCTTTGTCTAACGCTTTAGGGTCATTCGCACCCTTTATTACAGCACTCTTGTACAGCTCCTTTAAAGTGAGCTCAAATTCTCTTTATTTCAGCCCTAACTAACTTTTGAGAATGAATTCTCGAGATTACCTGTCGGGATTGTAATACATTTGGTTCAAATGTAAAAACCTAAGATTAATCATTATAATATTAGTAAGTGTAGAATGTATGTATGTTCGAATCCAAAACACAAATGCTCATATGCAAAAGAATAACAATTAACATTTATTTGTCAAATCTCTGATCCCAAATCTAACGTCAAGTTACATACATACATACATACATTGTATAGTCAAATTCCATGAAAATGCAAAATTACATCTCACTGGCTGACATCGCTGAAAGATGTTTGTTAAATTGTTTAAATAGGCTTTAAATTCATACTAAGGTTTGTTATAATTTTCTCATTTTCATTGAATTTAACTATGCATAAAATAACATATGCAAGAATATATTTGTACGGACTTAAACACAAAGCCAATAATTTAAAGTTGAAGATATTTCTTCTGGCATTTCTGTTCACTTCTTTAATAAAAGAATGTTGGCCGTGTCGTGTGCAACACATGCTCTATATTACTTCTCACTTCCCTATTACAAACTAATTAACTTATTTTTCTTTATTAATCTTATTTACCAAGTTTACAGAAATATTGTGCACTTTATCACATTTGGATAAAACTTTCACAACATATTTTTAGGCAAATATGACGTAATTTTTTTCCAAATGTTTTAATTTCACATCCAATCTATTTTGTACATGCAACGACGTCGAACTTCGCAATTGGTGTGTTTTATTTTCTGTTATCAAATAGTAAACGCGATCAATCAATCAGAGCGGAGATCAGCGCGCCGCGCCGCGCCGCGCCGCCAGCTGCTGCTAAATTCATCATTGACAAAATTGCTTTTCCATCATTGTCGACTACGTAATTTGTTATTGGAGAATCTGAGCGAGCTAAATGTAACGCAAGAGTTACTCATTGCATTATATTGTAATGATAAATCTTGTTTAAGGCAGAGAGCTCGACCATTGTCAGTGGAGCATCGTGTTATATGGTATGTTGCCAAACGTCGTGCAAATAAACTGTGGAAAGATGCTGTAGTCAGCGTACAATAATAATGTATTGTGTAACGCCATGTTGTTTGATTTCGTATTAGATGTTGTGTTTGCCTTTTATTTCATTATGAAACCTTCAATCACAATTCGGTGACGAGACACTTTTAGTGCTTTATTTGGCGTTGAAATAAAAATTGTCCGGTCACGTTGAATTAGGGGATGGACCGTAATCACTGTAGCGGCGCGAATTAACGAAGGCTGATATCGGCCGAGGATGACAGCGGCCGCGGCGGCCGGGACACGACACGGCATAATGTAATCCGCGATGCCCATGAATAATAAACACCCGTCGCCTCAGTGATTTCCCCTGCCGACCACCGAACGTCGACAGTTAACGATGACACGATGGCAGCTGCCGGCGCTCCGCTCAACTTTGACACGATCACTCCCCTCTTTTAGGTCAGCCCACGCAATGTTTGTCTAATAAATTTATTTTAATTTTAAAGGCAATAACGAAATGGCAAAGCAAGTGCGAAATCCAAAAGCAAATAATTTCTCGCGAGAGTGTCAATAGTTTACATTTATATTTGACTAAACAATTCCAAGAAACTGTCATCGTTCCAACTTTCCTTCGAGAGCGGTTGTTTGTATCGGAATTATTTATGAAATGAAAACGTGCTTTTACCATAAAAATATAAGCTTTTCCAAAATAAGTAGCTAATCACTTATAGAATTTTTTAATTGATTCCTTCCAGCATAATCTTAAATTACAAATCAACGTAGATTTATTTGGTGCGAATTACATACAACATCTATTTCTAATATAATTTTAATGACGAAGATTTGTGAAATATTTTAATATTTTTTTCATAATTCGCTGAACGTAGCGACATTTTAAGCCGCTTTCGTATATTTTTCCGTGGAACAAAGGGCTAGTTGTAGGTAAGCGCTCGTGACAGCCACGCGCCCTCTCGCGGACTCGACAACAATTAATTACGACAAGAGATGCTGCGGCGACAGCGAGTGATGCTCCACAACTTGCCTTGTAATAACGCAGTCTTTGAATGTGTTCTACTATGCGTTTTAATTCCATTGAATTTTAAACCAACCCAGATAACTATTGTGCGATTACAATTTTGATATTTATCTCGTTTTATATAGAAAAAATCTATCTCTAGGCTATCCTAACTTATGGTAGGCTCCAAGGACCTGGTCAAACCTGTTTAAAACATGTATTGTTGCAGTGATGGACATAGCGTGGGAGTTGAACGTGCAGGCTACGCCGGGCGTGACGGGCGGCGCGGCGCTGCTCACTTGCGCGCCCTCGTCGGCCGTGCGCGCCCACGTCCTCCACACCACATGGTACAAAGATGGCCTCGCGCTCGCTCCTATGGCTTCTGACACCGGTAGGTATCAAAAATATATTCATTTTAATAAATAAATAAACAAAGATTTTTGTTTTTTAATTAACAGCGGTATTTAATTTAAGTAATTAATTCAACGTAATGTGTGTTATTGTGTAATTCGCGCTAACAGGTCAGAATAATGTGTTGGATGTAACATGTTCTGGAGCGGCGCCAGCGGTATGTTGGTGCGCCCTGTGCCTCGTGTTATAAAGACCAAATTAATTTGACTCGCCACACTGCATCAGGCCGGGCTGGGACCTCGGTTCCGTTCCGCGAGGAAATAATATTAAGAATTTTTCTCTTTGGCCGGACTATAAACGCAGCTGTTTCAGACACGAGGGAGCAGCCGTTACTTTATGTCTTCTAATTCAATGGACTAGAGCCGTTAAATTGGATTTAAGTGTTTATTTTCAGATAGGACGAAACTCTTAGTAATAAAGCACTCTTAACGCCCACGAAACTTAGTTTAAATAACATTACGTACTATAGTAATTTCATATTATACTAATCTACACTAGAGCCCCTATTACCAAAATCTGTGTGTTTTTCTTGGAAGATGATGTTAGACGTTTCCAGAAGAACATAATATGTACATATATATGAAATTAACTTGTCATCAATAGAGGATCTTTGCATGTGGGTCACAGGTTCATTAGTAGGCAGGCTGGTGCATGTCATAACTCAAAAGGCTTACATTGTCTGCAGCTCAATGTCTTTATTAATACAACGCTCTCGACGGAGTGTTACGTGATCGCTCCCAAACAGGACTTCTAAAATGTTACCACTATCTAATATTCATATTTCCAACGTGAAACTGTTTTCTTATCTACGCAATAAAACAATATTAGAAAAAGTACACTGTTGTCTAAAATCTATTTTGTAAACACATTAAGTGTGATGAAATGATGAATATAATAGTATATTAAAAAATATTACAGTAAAATAGAAAATAATTTGTATCACTATCAAATTTGCGCTACTACTTCTCATCTTATTTAAACGTGATGAGAAGCGCCATTTTAGAGGCAACGACCTGCTTCAAGTTTACCCATAATACGGCAGCGCCATCTCATAGGATTAACAACAATAGTGAGATAATTGAAGCGATGCCTGAATTTGTAATGAAGGCGTGAGCTGAGGAGCTCAGCACAAGTTGTGGAGACACGTCTGTATATACGATACGATACGATACTAATACGGTTTAGTTGCAATCATGAAAGCCTCAACTTGATTAGTATTTGGTGTTCATTACAAAATACCACAGTAATTATGAACAATTCCAAATACGAGGTAAAATATCCAAATAATATACGGTTTAATAGGTTTATAACTTTAATGCTTGGATTTAATTAATTACAGTTCGGTGTATTTGAGTACTATTATTACGCGACTCAAATAGAGGGTAATGTTGTTACCGTGTATATTATTTTGTTTATGTGTATGTGTATATTTGTGTGTATGTAAATTACATTGTGACGGCCCAGAGCCTAAACAACCGAACTGATTGTGACGAGTGATGTGCTTCCCCGGATTCGATTCGTCTTCTTCCCCGAAGTGTCGTAGGGTATATTTTTTTAATCGCTAAATCTAATAATACTTTTTGATTTTAGCGAGTATATTTAAAATTACGAAAGTGATACTTAGAACATTACAGTTTCATAATATTAAATTAAAAATGTTACAAAAAGGAGACAATATATGGCGCTATTGCATCTGATAGACCCTGTCAATTGGTTATTTGTTCCTTTTTTGTGATTCCGGATATTAAAGTTGATAAAATAGCATTGCTTTAAACAATAATAAGTAGAAAGGTTTCGGCTTAGAAGAAAGTCGGCTCATACATAAAGTGGTGAAATAAAATTGTATGAGATATAGAGCGCGGTGGTGTCCAAACAGCGCGGGAATAAGATTGCAAATTAAAAGTGCCGGGGAAAGTTAAGCGGCGCTAATGCAAGTTTAATGTTCGTATTTGATGCAGTCGCGGGGAGTTGCCGCGTCTCGACACTCCACTCATAAATTATCTGCAGAGATTGGAGGCGGCACCGGGTTGTTTTTACTGGACAAATACGTTTCCCAAAGAAAACTATTTGCTTTCGTTTACTGTACTGTGTACGTTTGTCATGTTGTTCTTTTTGTTTTTTACTTTTCTTTGGACCCTTTAATTTATTAAAAGTTGTTTTGCAAGAGTTAACACAGTCTTAGTCATAATAAGACGAATAAAACTTTTTCTTATTTAATTCGTTTTGTGCGGGATTAATTTAAATTAACATATCCCGCGGTTGTGAGACATTTTAGGGAGGGGCGGTAACAATTTTCAGGTAAAGCTATCGCTCATGAAGATTACTGTATCGCTGGAGGCTGTAAGCAGCTTGATGAGCTCGCGTCTAAGGACTATGTCGCCACAAATATTCCACCGCCGAACTCTCCCTCCCCCCCCCCATGGTAATACAACGAGGTTACTGTTCGCAAGTTACTTTAGAAGTTAAGACATAGTAAACAATTAAACAATGCTGACGATTATATCACAATACATATAAAATTAGCCATCTTTGTTTTGCCAATTAATATGATTAGTTCTAAAAAGATACTAAGATAGTTGATAACCTATTTGTTTTAATAAATAGAGATTAATCTTCTTCATTAATGAGTGGCTGGATGTTTATCAGATAAAATGCAAGTATTACGATAAGAATGTGACAATTAAGTACTTATGTTTTGTTGTATGTATCGCAATACAACAAAACATAAGTACTTACAAAGTAATAAGTTTGATCAATTTAATCTAATAGACATTATAATATAATATCTCTATGATCTTCATTATTTGTTTTAGTATATAAAGTTTGGTTGTTGTTTCACGATTATATATCGGGAGTTTCTTTCCAACATCATAAAAGTAAATGTCAAAGTAATAAAATAAATATGTGGAGCTCGTTACGTTACGTCCCCGGAGCGAAGTCGCGATATCTTATGAGCTAAAGTATCTCTACGAGTATCTACTGATATATGATGTGTGTTGAGCACAGTTCATTATGTTATTATTAATGTATGTTCAAACTAATTACTAAAATCAATCCTACAAATAATAGGATAATAGTACCAGTATATAAATAGGTAATTAATTTTGCACAGATAAAATTAATTATGAGAGAGGTAAAATCCGCTCTTGTGCATTTTCAAAGACTATCATATGCAGTAGCACGCAGGAACAATGATTATATCTCATTCACAGAGCCGGTGCACCGCCAGCAGTGACATATTAAAATGTACACGTTACAGGGGAGCGTGCTCATTGCACGGCTGCCGTCGCTCTGGCGCCGCTCACCGCTCACATCGCGACATCCTTTGTCCTGCGCCAACAATGAGCTAGCACATATGCACATTGTCTCACTTAGTCGTATGTGATAACGTGGTAACAACTAATTATAGCATTACGCTTCGTCGGCTCATAAAATTAAACGCATTGTGCGGGCGCATGCCGCTGCGGCGGTGCGGCGGGGCGGGGCGGGGCGGGGCGGTGACGACGTTCGTTAGTTGGAATCACTAATTGTCTAATTAATGGTGGGTTTCAACCTTTGTTGGAGGCTCAGGATGACACGTTTCATTCTTTTTTGCGGTCTCAGTTCAATTACTAGTGCTTTTTTATTGTTAAATCTACGAGAAATAGCCGTACTAATACAGGAGACGCTCTTTAAAACCCTGTCTTTGGAATACTCCATATATATACTCGATATATACATAACAGTTGCTTAAGTGAAAAACATAGAAACTAGAGCACCGTAAGACCGCCGCGCAGCTGCTATATTTTCATAAGCAGCATTATCTTGTCTCCTCGTCAACAATGTAAAAGCTCTAGATGTACTCGAGCAAAAGTTATTTGTAACAAAAGGCTACAAAAGTCCACTCGAGCGGGGCAAGAGAGTAACAATACTATCAGGAGCATCGGCGACGGCGACAATTGCACGGGGGGAGGAAAGAGGCGAGTTAAGATCGAATGGATGGCCGGTGAGTCGGTGGACGGCGGGCGGCGGGCGGCGGGCGGCAGGCGGCGGGCGGCGGACCCATTTAGAATTCATTGAAAAACTCCGAGCTGAAAGTTATCTGATCGTAAGCAAAGTCGAGAACGACCTCGAGTACACTTGCGTGGAAAACTGCTGCAAAATATTTGAACACATTAAATACTTTGATAAATTTGCTTCGCTTTTGTTTGCCTTAAGCGGTTTTTATACACTGCAAAGTTTGTTTAATCTTATCAATAAAAAAATGTATCTTGTCATAATTTTTTTCACATTTATATTGGACATATCTTTCCCCCCAATAACAGCACAGTACACTAGAGCGTATAAACGAATATTACGTTCACACAAATCTCGATCGAAAATCTCGATCATCACACTTATCGCGTCCTCGTCCAATTTCTATTGATACGGTAGTTGACCCAGAATACTTTAGCCAACGCGCTTGTAAAGAAATGAAAGCAATTTGACCCTTCTTGAGGAGAAAGCGACTATAAAATTCCAAGTGGGGAACCATCGGCGATGCTCGAACGTTGTAGCGTTGTCAGTGTGTGAGTGCACTCAATCCGCTTCCTCCTCTCATTTCAATGTCGCGAGCTTCGACATGATGTGGTCATCTTATAATTAGTATTTCATAATCACATACAGCATAAATGAATATATAATTTATATATCTACTTATTGTAGTTTTTACGCGTTGCGACCATTTCGTGAATGAATAAGTACGCCTAACAGTAATAGTAGCAGCAGTATCTCTTACCTGTTAGACAATATCCAACTTTTAATTTTCCTCTGCTAATAGTGTAAGAGCAAGTTGGTATAAGAACTTCTGAGGTCTGAGGTAGGCTCACAGTGAACAACTTGATATCGCTGCAACTTGCTTTGAAGTTGCCCACAATAAGGGAAAGTTTTTTTAAAAAAGAGAACAGCGTGAGCTTATAGAAAAAAAGAATTTCTGATGGGTCCCTGCAGAACATTTGTGACTGGGTTTGTAATGTTACTAACACGTTTAAACGATAGTCAAAGTTTTTAGTAGTTTTTTTAATAACTGATCAGTTCTAATTTGTAGAAGACCACCCGATGAGGTGAGCCGGAACTTTGCGTCCACATGTCAATTGTACCATTGGATACCCGTAGGTCGCTACGTGGTGGGCGGCAGTCGCGGCGATGTGTTGGTGGTGCGCGACGCCCGGCCCGACGACACCAGCGCCTACTCGTGCGAGGCGCAACACGCGCTTACCGGCGAGAAGCGGCGCAGTCCCCCTGCCATGCTCGCTGTCTCTCGTAAGCTTTACGTCAAACTAGCTATGCCTCATGTAGGTAGTATTATACTATAACGGCTACAATTAAAAATATTAATCGTCAAATGTTTAATAATAGATTCGACGGGCAGCATGGCGCCGCGCATGCTGACGATATCGGAGGACGAGACGGTGACGCAGGGCGGCGACATCAGGCTCGTCTGCTGCGCCATCGGCAGCCCGCCGCCAACCTACAGGTTCTCAAGGAATTTGGTTATTCCATCATAAATACTTAACTAAACAAAAAAGAAGTTATTCGTTGTTCTCTGCTTTGTTCGTTTTTACATCGATTGTGTTTGATTGAAGTTGGTTCCGGCATGTGAACGGACGGCTGAGCCCGGTGTCGGCCAGCGTGCGGGTGTCGGTGGCGCAGCAGGTGCTGGTGATACGGCGCGCGCAGCCGGCGGACGCGGGCGTGTGGACGTGTCGCGCGCACAACCAGTTCGGCGAGCAGCGCCGCGACGCTACCCTCAGGGTGCGGTCGCGCCTCGTCGTCACCGTACACCCTCAGCTGCAGGTACCCGCAGCTCGTGTGCACGATAGCATATCTAAAGAATTGAACATGCTCTGCCGACCTGAACACGAGATATTTATCGCAATTAATAGTGTAACAAACTATATCTAGCATGACAGTGATATTTTGTGAAAACTTTTATTTTATACTCTGAATCTAAATATTACTTGTTCAACAATGATAACTGGATCTGAATCCTCCTAAAAACATAGCGAACAATAGTATATGGAATTTTCTAAAAACAATAGATTATTGGTGTGATCTCTGCTCGGGGATTGAGAAGTAATCAAGTTAGGATACAAGACACGTGCTCTAGCTCTTGACATGTTGTGACGTGACCGTAACCTAAAGACATAAATATTTTACATGTAATGTTGGATACCTAACTATATCCACTTAGTATTAGTTTAAATATTTATTATTGCTTTGTGATTACAAGCAATCTGTACAGACATAAAAAACAAACATATTCAAAACTTAGTTCAATATGTATATAATTCCTTACAGAGAACAGTTTCTACTTTTTGTATTGAATATTGATCCTGTCTCCTGATAAATGTAGATTTTATCTCAACGAATCCAATAACCTCTCCTTTGGCAATAACTTCAAATTGTGCTGCAAATGTTGTGTTATATTAATGCATAACATAACTCAGTATTTACTATTTTGAAACGGATTCTGTGGCCAAGTATTTTATTTAGTAATAAATATTTTAAACAAATGCCGAGTAAGAAGCAGCAGACTCATAAATGATTAATGCAATGTACCGGACTCTGGCCTTGTATAATTTATTGAGCGGCCGCGCCGTCTCGCAGGATTAGTTCCCAGCGTTTATATGGTCAGTATCAGTATTGGACAAAGCAATGTCAGTAACTGTGTAAACGTTTGCTACGTAGGTGGCAAATTCTGGAAGTTCAGTGGTGTTCAACTGTACGGTGGAGGGCGGCGGCGGCGATGCGCGCGTGCGCTGGCTGCACGACGGCGTGCCGGTGGGCGGAGCCGAGCGCACGCTGCGCGTGCACGGTGTTGCGCGCGCGCACCGCGGCATGTACCAGTGTTTCGCGGAGCGCGACCTCGATAGCGCGCAGGCAGCTGCCGAGCTGCGCCTGGGTGGTCAGTAACACCAACGTTTATTAACAAACTACACCTTAGTTTATAAAACCAAAAACTCTGTACACAACATAATATGTCTCGTACACTCTTTATCTTTGACGAAACAAAGAAAACAATATGATTTAAACGGGCATTTGGTCTCAGAAACCCACTATACTTGATTCTACGAGGAAATAATATAAAGACACAGTTTAGATTTTCTCATAAAGATAGTAATTGGTATCATAAAATGTAACTAGCATCATTTAAAAAGCTAAATATTAAATTAATTTCCTTGAAGTAGTACCAAAGTAAGAGGGCATTTTCAGTTAATAGGTGCCAAAAGGATTGTAAGAAAAGTAGTCTAACAAAGGACTTTAAGTATTTAAATTTATTCACGAAAAAACGACAATCGCTGCGTTGAAACTGAGCTTCTTACGCCCAGACTCCCAGTAGAAAGATATTGCCGCCAACAGAGAGCTTGTCAAATTGTCAATGCAAAGTGCCTTTGTGCCGGCACCGGGGACCTATTTAATTGATTTTCACCTCGGCCGGGGTGTTTAATTGAAATAAAGGTGATTATAAGCGAAATATTTCTTGATTACAATAGATTGATTTATTACTATAGAATTTAAATAGAAAAAACTTTATCAGATGACATGCGGCTACCAACAGCGCCGACTTAGTCGCAAACTGAATCGCGGCCGTTTTTAATTGCTCTTAAATAATACTCAGGATACAGCACAGCTTTGCTGCCTAAAACTTTACGGTACTTCATTATACGTCGGCTGTTTAAGAAAATCTTGGTAGAGAGAGAAAAAATATGTCAAACGTCCTTAGTAAAATTATGTTTGTCATATATATATATTTTCCCACTATATATTATCGTGGGAAAATGTAAGGGAATGTCGGAGGAAGTACACGCTGTCTTGAATTGAAACGCCCGATATTCTATCACATTGTTACTGCTTACAAAGTCATTAAATGGAAAGAGACTCATTGTCATACCTTTATTAATTACTCTCTGGTATGTAGTAAGATCACGCAGTTGACAATAATGATCAGGGAATAATTTGCATATACGTAGTGGATAGTGTGGGGGGGGGGCGAGAGGGGGGAGCCGGATCCGGGTCAGTTATTGATTAAACTGCGCTGCAGTAATGACCGGACAGGCCATGCGTCACTCGCCGCCTGACAGGTAACCTGTGGCCCAAGCCAACTAATACAAATGTCATAAAATTCCTTTCAGAAAGAGTTATTTTCTGCCCTAGAGTATCTGTTCCTTACTGGTCTTCGTGTGAAATGGATTATTTCAGATGTCCTGGCTTCTCATCCAGGTTGATGTATTATTATTTTCATCATTGTTATCAATTTATTAATTTAATTTGTAATCAAGTGTGGTTCTGGCGGTAGCTAAATTGTTACAGAAAATTCACAATATCATAACAAAAATGAAATCGCTGTCAGTTTATGACCGAGACCGCAATATACGTCACAGTCCGTGGGGAGCGGGATGGGGCAGTGAGGAGCGTTGCGTTACCGAAATCTATTAAAATCGGGCGCAGCTCGTGCACCGCGCTATATTAATTGAATGTTGATAAAATACACTCGTTAATGATACAGCTGCAACATAACCCATCAAGCGAGAAATGGGCGTTATTCCTTGTATTGTCATAGTCATTTAGAAGTCAAGTTGTAAAATGATATAATTTATTCAGAGATTATCTTAAGCCCGCGACTCGGTCCGCGTGGAATTAAAAAAACTTTTCCAGACTATGACTTTATGCCAAATTTGAACGAGATTCATTGAGCCATTCTGGATATATCTTCTAATAAACATTCATCTAAACATCCAAACTTTCGCATATAAAATATTAGTAACATAATGTCACGGAGATAATAGATGACATTTCTGTCGTGACTTTCCTCTCACATATACGTGTGTTTATAAAAAAATGTAATTGTCGTACTCGTTATATTTTCATGGTTGAGTTTGAATCGCCAAAAAAAAAGTACTGACGAACGCTCTTTTGGAAAACAAATTTTCACACTGAAATATTACAATTTTGTAAAATAAATTTGGAGAAGGGGAAGAACTGTAAATCTTTCAGATTTGTGGATGACAGCCGGGCAAGTCGCCAGACCTTCTACGGTCCAAGTTATAGAATATTGCTTATCTATTTATACTAATGCATCGTTACTACAACTTTGACTTTTTTGCGTTTCATTTATTTACAAGAAATCAAATATAACATAAATGTTACGTTTTTACAATTTGACAGAAAAATTCCCTTATTTTTTTAATTACATATGTACTTCCAATTATTTTTTCACATTTACAATAAACGACTTCTTGACCTAAGACACTGCTGCGTCTAATATTAGTAAGTAGCTGGTGCCTATCATACTGGGTCACTGCAAAAGGGGAATAAACTCGTTGGCGTGTTTTTACATCTTAGTAATTGAAAAATTATAAAGTATAAATATCTCGCTCCTCTCTTCGTTATATACGACACGGCAGAGGCGAGGAGCAAGACGCGTCGATAATAAAAGCATGGCAAAAAATTCCCAGAGAGCGAGCGCGACAATCGAAGGCTATAAATCAGTATCGGAAAAGGCAAAACAGAATCCAATCAACGTGCGCAAATGTCGCCGCCGCCACATAAACAAAGCGACCGGCGCGGCGGAGGCCGATGTATGGCAGGCCGTTTGTCACCGGTCACGCGTGCGCTGCGCCATTAACATGAGGAATATTGCCCTCCTAACGACGACACATCATGAAGGCAGTTGTACCAAGATATATGCTGCTTTCTTCATCACTGGGCTGGGAATTGACCATTTACCGTTTGTTATAGCGCTCGTAATGGTTTTAGTAGTTTATGATAGTAATGTTAACTGCGAAGAATTCATAAACTCCAGATGATGTTACATTCCTTAGGCGAAACGTTTCAATTTCTAATGTGCTCGGTCTATAACCATAGCTTACGTTAAAATAGTGTCGTTAAAATCATGAAATTACAATTTTTGTCATTGAACGTTTCAGACACGGCGCCGGAGCTACACTACACATTCATAGAGCAGGCGCTGCACCCGGGGCCCGCGCTGGCGTTGCACTGCGCCGCCTCGGGTGCGCCGCCACCGCGCTTTACCTGGCTGCTCGACGGACAGCCCATAGAGGAACTCAACACCCCCCAGAGGTTAGCCAGTTTTTTTCTCTACGAAACCTCACGAAACCGAAATTTGGGTATATTAATGAATGAAATTTGTTTGTGCTTCAGGAGCATCAGCCAGTTCATGAGGCCGAACGGGGACGTGGTGAGCTACCTGAACATAACGTCTGTGCGCGCGGCGGACGGAGGCCGTTATACCTGCCGCGCGCACAATTCGCGTGGCGCCGCAGAGCATTCCACTAGGCTCAATGTTTACGGTTCGTCAATACTTCAGATTTCATTTTAACAATACCTAATATAGATCAGAAGCCGATCAATACATCTGAGTGATCATATGTGATCATGTCTCTAACAACAATATTTGTATGTGTGGTCGTTGCGCTCGGCAGGGGCGCCGTCAATCCGCAGCATCGGGCCGCTGCGCGTCGTGGCTGGCGTCAACGCGACTGTCTACTGCCCCTACTCCGGATTTCCAATCAGGTTGATGGAGGTGCATTTGTTTAGAAAGATTATAAGTTTCTTTATACTAATTATGAATTTAACAGCTATGTTAATCTTTATTGTAAAACGACATGTATAGTTACGTACGTAGTGACATATCATTCTAGTCCTTAAGCTTGTCTTATGGCATTTAGCGAGATCCGGTGGCAGCGCGGGGGAGACGGTGCCGGCGGAGAGTTGGGCGGCGGACGCGCGACTGGTGCGGGGGGTGCGCTGCGCCTGTGGCCGGCCGAGCCCTCCGACGCCGGTCTCTACTCCTGCCGGGTCACCGCGCCCTCTGGACACTATGCGCAAAAGGACGTGCAGATCTTCGTTAGAAGTGAGCGGGAAAAGTTGCATTTAAACAAAATTAGATTCATTCATTTCTTTACAAATGCACTCATAAATTCAATAACATAGCCAGTGCAGTACGCAGGCCACAAAGTAGTACTTTAAAATATAGAAATGCATGAACATGAAACAAACATTTTCATAGTTTAAAGTTCGAAATTTCATTTTATTATCATTTGGCGGAGATTTACAGTAGTTATACAATTGTAGATCCTCCTAAGATAGCGGGCTTCTCGTTCCCGGCGGACCTGGTGGAGGGCAGTTCGGTGCAGGTGTTGTGCGGCATCACGTCCGGGGACAAACCCGTCTACTTTTCCTGGCTCAAGGACGGGCAGCACATACCTTCCAACTTGCAGGTATAGTTTACAAGACAAATTGAACAGTTTAACTGTGCTTCACGTGATTGTTAGATAAATAACTTGAGTTTAATAGCCGCATGCATTGTCAGGTACAAGAGAAGTCCCTGGACGAGTTTAGCTTTCTGATATTCTCGCACGTGACGTCACAGCACAGCGGTGAATACACGTGCGTAGCCACCAACACCGCCGCCGAGGTCAATCACACGGCGCGTCTGGCTGTTAAAGGTTTCTTATATCTTATTATCTTAACCATTTTTAAATCTCGGTCTTGTCGCTTCTGCCACGAAGATACTATAACCCATTTAGGGCTTAGCTTTAAAAAACTCTATGGCTAGCGCGTATTTTACGTGTTATTACCACCTTCACTATTTTAAAATTTCAGTCGCTCCATCATGGGTGTTCGAGCCTCAAGATGCATCAGTCCTGTTGGGCACTCAAATCATTGTGCATTGCTCCACCAAGGGCTATCCTGAGCCACAGATTGCATGGCTGAAGGCCCAAGGTACGAAAATATGGCATCGTGATGGTTTAACTTTAAATCCTAACAAATTATCAATAAAGCTGTTACGTTTACTCTTTGGCTCTTTAGCTATGCGTTTGAATAGGGATGGATAAATTGCTAAAATCAGTATGGTCAGGCGGCGGCGAGTTCCGCCCGCTGTCGCAGCTGGAGCCGGCGCCGCTGCTCGTGCTGCGCAACGGCTCTCTAAGCGCGGCGACGGCAGCGCGCGCGCACGAGGGCCGCTACATGTGCCGCGCGGACAACGGCGTCGGCAGGGGGCTCTCCAAGGTCATCACCGTCTCCGTGAATGGTAATGACACATTTATTGTTCCATATTTCATCTCAAAAGATGCAGCAAGGGATATATTTGAATCTGTATCTACAATGTGGTATATCAGAGCCGGCGCACTTCGAGTTCTCGTCACGCAACATGTCAGTGCGGCGCACGGCGGGCGCGGCGCTAGTGTGCGCGGCGCGCGGCGACCCGCCCATACAGCTGCACTGGACCCACAACACGCAGCGCCTCGACCTTTCCACATACAGGTTATACATACATTTTCAGCATTCGAAAATTATTAAAAGAAATCCAATTTTATGCAACTCAACAAAAAGTTATAAATGGGTGACAAAGATAATGTCACTGTAATTATTTCTGTTTGATTGTTTGTATCGTCAGAGTGTCAGTGTCGGAGAAGCGGTCGGAGAGCGGCGCCAGCTCAACGCTGAGCATCGCGCACGCGGAGCGCCGTGACTCCGGCGTATACCGCTGTCGCGCCGAGAATGCCTACGGCCGCGACGAGCTGCTTATCTATCTCGCAGTTCAAGGTTGGTGTTATATATTAAGATATTCATGTATTTTCCACTAAACCTACCAATGTATTATTTAATCATGTGTCAGCTAATGCTCCGATTCACAGAAAATGGAAGTCCAAGGGCGGGGATAACTGACAAATCTTTTACGTAGTGTAATATATTGCGGCTATGTAATATATGGCGGTGGTGTGTTGTCAGAGTTCCCGGAGGCGCCGCGCGGTCTACGCGTGGTGTGGCGGGCGGCCCGTGCGGCGCGACTGGCGTGGCGCCGCGGTTACGACGGCAACGCCCGCCTGCGCGCCCACCGCCTGCAGTACCGCGTCGTGGGCGCCACGCAGCACGCCACCCAGCTCGCAGGGCCGCGCCCGCAGCATGCTGACTGGACAGATGCGCCCACTCGGGAGATACCACCGGATTTAGTGCATCAGAGGTAAAAATATTTTATTTTATTGAAATATAACGTGGAATAAATATTTTGTGCCATGCTTGTCAAAGAAATAAAACAATGACATTAACAGGCAGGATTCGACAGAAGAAAAGGGGGAAGCGGAGGGAGACGTAGTGCTCGAGTTCTCAGTGGAGGGTTTGCGACCGGCCACCGCGTACGCGCTGCGCCTCGCCGCCGTCAACGACATCGGCGACAGCGACTTCTCCGACCCCGTCATCGTGCATACCTTGGAGGAAGGTCTCTCTCTGTTAATATTTAATAGGAGTATATTACATATTATAATTATTACTGATACCACCATGAGACCCCAGATTAGACGCAAAACGAAAATGTCAAGCTATCGTTCTACTACGTGTCGCGACGTTTTACTTTTTTTATTGCGCAAAGAGCAAAAAATTAAAATTATATCGGAACTGTCCTTAGACCTATGTTTTCTGGGTAATCATAAAGGGATATGACCTTACCTTGCCTTTCTTATACTACTAAATTTACTTTACCGAATTTATTATATGAAAATACTGTTTCAGAGCCCTCCGAGCCTCCTCACAACATTGAAATACAAGCGGACTCTCCCGGCGAGCTGCTTGTCAAATGGCAGGTAACACGTCATATATGAACATTTCTTACTGTTGTGTGTGAACAATTTTAACGCAAGGATAACGTATTCCTAAACATATTACTTCTAACCGTTTACTCCCTCCCATTAAATAGAAATTGTCCAAAACTTTGCATGATGATGATGACACGTGATATAATCTGGTACAGGCGCCTCCGCAAGAGTCGTGGAACGGCGAGCTGCTGGGCTACGCGGTGTGGTGGCGCGGCGACAACGCGTCACACGCGCTCACCGTGCCTGGCTGGCGCAGCTCGCGCGCGCGCCTCGGCGCTTTGCGGCCGCACGCGCGCTACGAGCTGCGCCTGCAAGCCTACAACGCGGTCGGCGCGGGCCCGCTCTCCGCACCCCTCGGTGCCGCCACTCTAGAAGACGGTTAGTCGAACTAAATAAAGTCTCTTCTATTCTTTGAAATTGTTTTAAAAATAAACATAGCAGGCAAATAGGTTCAAATCATTATCATCAGGGACAACCCTAGATCTAGAACAAAATATTGTTTGTACGCCGGTAGTGCCGGAGTCGGGGCCGCAGGGGTTGCGGTGCGAGGCGCTGTCGGCGCAGTCGCTGCGGCTGTGGTGGGAGCCCCCGCCGCCTCCCGAGCGCGGCGGACTGCTGCTCGGATACGAAATTACTTATCAAGTAATTTATTTTTCTCCTTTAATTTTCATTTAAATTAGCTAGTGACGGTAATTAACTTTAGCATAAGTTCTACAAACAAATTAACAAATGAGGCTTACAAATGTTTGCAGGCGGTGAACTCTGAAGGCGAACTAGAGGGCATGCCGGAGACGCGGCGGTCGGGCGGCGCCGAGGCGGTGGTGTCCGCGGCGCGCGCAGGCAACTACTCGCTGCAGGTGCGCGCGCGCACTGCAGCCGGCGCTGGACCGCCAGCGCACACTTATTGCGCCACGTTGGATGACGGTAATTGCTGCCACATTACACGCACTAGAATTTGCTCTCGAGTACTTCTATCTGCAATATGCGCATGTTTTATGTGTGCCAGAACTGTGACTTTATAAGTACATTGTTGCAGTACCTGGGCCGCCGGCGGATATTAAAGCCGTCGCCAATTCGGAGAGCTCCGTCATAGTGAGTTGGCTGGCGCCGGCGCACAGCAACGGCAGGATCCATCACTACACCGTCTACAATCGGCCGCAGAGGTTTGTATTAATATTCTCATCTACTTGCATCGTCTTCCATATTGTGAAAGAGAACCAAAAGTAGTTGAAGAGATTAAACAGATTGTTGGCAGTAAGTTAATGGAGTAATCGTGGTAAGCAGGACGGGGCAGCAGGCGCAGACGGCGGTGCTGCCGGCGGCGGGCGCACGCGAGCACCAGGCGGAGGTGCGCGGCCTGCAGGAACATCAGTTGTATGAATTCTGGGTAACGGCGGCGACCGCGGCCGGGGAGGGCGAGATGAGCGCCATCGTCGTCAGAAAACCCACCTCAAGGCGTATGGTTTATTTCATCCTTGTCTGTGAAATAATTAGTCGAATATGTGAATCAGTTATCTTCGGATTGGCAAATGGACTTATTTGCATTCGTTTTACTTATATTTACAGCGTCGGTGAAACTATGGTCGTTTCCACGGCGCATCACCGCGGCGGAGGGCAGTCGTGTGGTGGTGGCGTGCGGCGCGGTGGGCAGCGCGGCGCAGCGCGTATGGGCGCGCCGCCGACCACCCCCGCCCGCCGCCGACCCCAGGCTCATCGTAGACTCCTACAGGCTTATTATACCTAGTGAGTGAGAGATGCACTAAATCAATTGACTCCTCTCTAATCTCTAGAAGATTTACCTAGATCTGTTATTTTAAATTTACTGTGTTTTTAAAGATGTAATATATAGGCGCTCCAAGGATTCGTACGGTACGCTCGATCTGTATATATATTGGCAGAGTTGGACGCGAGCCTGTCGGACAACTACACGTGCATAGTGCGGGGAGGCGGGGGCGAAGAGCGCGGCACGTGGGAGGTGTCTGCGCGCGCACCTCCTCCTCGCCCCCGCTTGCGCCTGGCCGGCGCCGCACCGCACGCGCTGCTGCTCGCCTGGGACCCGCCGCCCGCGCTGGAACAAGTGCACAGTGAGAATTTTATTACCATCATAAAATATATTATTACTTTGTTATATCTATAAATATTGAATACCTTATTAAATATAGTTTAAAGCGTTCTGTACTTTTCATGCATAAAATGAAAGCGAAATTGTGGTTGAGGTTACACACTGGAGCACACGCGAGTGGGCGGGGCGAGCGCGGGGGAGGGCGCGAGCGAAGGCGCGGGCGCGGGGGCGTGGCACAGCGTGTGGGTGGCGGGCAGTGCGCGGGCGCACGCGCTACGCCGGCTGACGTGCGGCGCGCGCTACCGCGTGCGGCTTTCGGCCCAGGGGCCCGCCGGTACTTCGCCGCCCAGCGCAGAACTCATTGCCAGCACCAGCGGCGGACGTGAGTATAGCATATAATCTTTGGGATTTCAAAATTTTATAAAAGATTAATAATTAATAACAAGTTCCTCATATAAAATTTGGTCCAGAAAAAAACGTTTTGTTACTTTACTTTTTATGTTCGTATTATCAGTAGAAAACATGACATTATTTGCAAATACACGAAGGCAATGCCCGTACATTTTAGCATCAAAAGCGGCACTCGAGAAGCACTTGTTCACCAGCAACAGCAGCTGCGTGCGACTGAACTTCCTGACATGGGACAGCAACGGCTGCCCTATCACCCACTTTGTCATATCCATTAAGGGTAAGTCTATGAAAATGTTTTTTTTTTACTTTTCGACTTCGATTAGCAAAAGATAACGGAATAGTTTATGTAGGTTTCGAGGAATCGCGGTGGCGCACGGAAAGCGTGTCGCTGGAGGGGTGCGCGCGTGGCGTGCACGCGGTGTGCGCGCTGTCGCCGGGAGCGTGGCACGTGCTGCGCGTCGCCGCGGCCGGCGCTGCGGGGACCACCACCGCCACCTACTACTTCGCAACGCTCACCGCCGCAGGAGGTCTGCTGACGTCACCACTCATCAAATCTTATGATTCAAAGTCGCAATCTACTGGTACCGGTATTTGTCGTGCAGAGCGCGTTCCGGCGCCGGAGCAGTACCCGGCGGGCGGCGAGGACGGCGCGGGCGGCACGGGCGGCGGCGGGCTTGCGGCGCTGCTGGCGGCGGCTGCACTGCTAGCCGCCGTGCTGCTGCTGGCCGCGCTCGCCTACAGGCGCAGGTAGCCCCGCTATAACTTGCGCACGCCGCTGTTGAACTAGGATATGTATTATTTATAATGTGAATGATTGAATTAAGGAAGTGAATGAATTATGGGCTAATATTAATATGACTTAGGATACTTCAAGAAACTAGCATACCATTTCCTTAAAGGCCGGTTACACATCTACAGTTTTTCTGGTGTTGCAGATGTCCATGTGTGTCGGTGCTCACCTCGGTGTTCCCGGAGTTCGTTTGCCTCTTCCCTAAAAAAATGTATTTTATTTTAATAATACGGTTGGTTACTAACTTACTGCCCTAATAATGTAGTACATCGCACGCGTGCATGAGGAAAGGCTACGAGCAGAGCGGCATAGCGGAGGAGGACAAGTCGATAGAGAGGAGGGATAACCGGCGCAACTGCCAGCAGGTGTACTCCTCCTCGCCCATCAAACATCCCGCCACCAAAAAGGAACAACAAGGTAACTATGCGTGCAAAGTTCGGGTGTCGAATTCCAATTACTTTTTATCCGGTCCATACTGAATGAACTGCTAAGCGATACGAAGCACAAAATGAACTTTCAGAAATGTACGAGATAAGTCCGTACGCGACGTTCAGCATGTCGGGGGGCGCGAGCGGCGCAGCGAGCGGCGCGGCGAGCGAGGTGGGCGAGGCGGGCGAAGCGGCGGCGGGCACGCTGCGCACATTCGGCCGCGCCGAGCCCGCACCTCTCAGCGCCGCACCGCCGCGCCGCGCCGCCCACTGCCACCGCTCGCCCGCAGACTCCGGTACACACATCTATATCTATATTTTGTTTAGTATCGTATCGATCACTTTCATATTTATTGACAAAGAAAATTATATTTCTGAATATGGCTATAATATATAACTACTACTATTGGCGAGGACCTATTATTGACTATATGTTTACTAACTATTGTTATACTTAATATGTAAAAATGGCTGTTGGTCTTCTATTAAATAAATAAAAAATAAACTAATCACAGTTTTCAATGTTGCATAGACGAGTACGGGCTGTCGCATGCCATGACACTGTCGGTGCACCGCGCCGAGTCCGACTCCGACTCGAGCGGCTCGCCGTGCGCGGAGTGCGGCGTTGCCGCCTACCGCCGACCTCTCGTCCCCGCCAAAGGTTACTCATGCTCTTTGCCACGCTTTATTGTAATAAACCGTAACCGTTGTAAACTTTTGATACAAACTCGCAGAAGAGGCATTCCGAGCGGTGACGGACTCGAGCGCGGAGTCCGCTGCTGAGGCGCGCTCATTGGCGCAGCGCCGCCGCCAGCGCCGGCATCACCCGCCACCCGCCAGGTGCACTGTTCATTACATTAAACACTTTAAATGTATCCATAATAATATTACCATTTGTAATATAATATAATTTATTCCTTTATATATATTAACGAGTTTGTATCACCGAATACCATTATACCTATAATAACATAAATTTGATTAAAAGTATAATATAGGTAATTTTAATCGTTACATTATTTATACAATTATATATAGGTACGAGTATAATTGATACCACCATAAAAGTATGTATTATCATAAAACAAATTATTTTAAATTTTACTTTCTAATAAAATAAATAACAGTGCCATCTTACGGTAAATCTGAGACACATTCAGGTGATTTAACTCAAAGTTATTATCCCTTTTCAGTAAAGATGTCGCTTATCCCCAATAAAGAAGTTAACAAAATAATATTTTACCTTTGTAACTTTATTTTAATGTTATTTTATTTTA